TCAATAGGGTCTTCAAAGGCATTGCCTACTACCCTAAATATACTGAACTGTATGGATACAAAGAAAAATTAACGTCAATTACATGCTTGTGAGAGAAGACACAGTAGTCGTTGGTTGGTCGAAATAGTAATAAAACATTACTACTCGATTATTGTGAGTAGTATAATGTAATGTAGTGTCCGCGTTCGTCTGCGCTGGGTTAGCAGGCGACTGGGGAATCATGCTTTTGGTGCATGTCCAGTTTGCTCCTACGTGAGGAGTGCTTGTTGCAAACCGGTGTTGTGTGGTGTTGGGCGTAACTATGTGTGATGAAGGTGCTAGTGAGGAGAGATGCTGTAAGGTGGTATAGCCGGCAGTTTTCTGCCGAAGGTTTTCGTGAAGGCGCATGTGGTATAATAAGCCCATTCGGTGTGTGAATGTACGTGCATTGAGGTGCGTACGATGGGTGTATGTTAACGCGCATGGCACCGATATGTCGGTCTCTGTGCGACGGATTCGCAAGTGACCGATCAGGCCGATGCATGAGATGAAAGTGCGATCGCAATGAGGACAGGTCAGAAGCGATAGGATGTGACCTCAATGCTTACCTCGATACCGCAAGAGTTGAAACCACTCCAACCCTGTTAGGAGAGCAGTACAACGAGGCGGACGCGAAGCTAAAAATAAGTAACCTTATTGAATTCCTGAAACACTGTTTGAGCACCCTTTCTCGTTCAAAGGAACCGCATACGAACGTATAAAAGGTGCACCACTGGAGTCGCCGTTGTCGTACCTGATTGCTGAGGCAGCATTACAATGAATGGAGGCACTGGCGTTCAGCCACTATCGACCACGATCATGGGTACGGTATGCTGATGGCACATTCACTATTATTAGTCGAGACAGGATTGGGGATTTCACAGAGCATCTGAACGCGATTTTCTACGGCACTGAGTTCATGATAGAGGAAGAAAAAGACTGACGGTTGCCGTTCCTCGACGTACTGGTGTGCAAAAAGGACGGTGGTGAATTCAAAAGAACAGTTTACAGGAATGTGACGCATACCTCTCGTATTCTGCATTACCATAGCAACTACTCTCTCCCGCAAAAAAAGCAGCTGCATGCGAACACTATATTGCCGAGTAGCAACCCACTACAAAGAACCAGCCGACAAGAAGGCAGATGTCCAGTTTCTGCGGAAACTTTTAACGATCAGCAGATATCCCGGCAGTTTCGTCAAACAATGCAGACGAGAAGCCAAAGGAAGAAATCAAGACCAAAATGCTGGCAAGCGATACCTTATATTGCTGGCCTGTCCGAAGAGTCCGCTCGACTAGTCAGCGAATTCGAGATTGGCATGGCTCACAGGCTGGAAGTGACAATCCGTAGCCAATACATGCATCCTAAAGACCCAATTCCCATTAACCAAAAATCCAATGTCATCTTCCGCATCTACCGTCGGCTGAAAGTCTGATATTACCATCAAAATAAAGTTCTCTATCTATCTGTCTTTGTGGTCAAGCCAATTGTTGGAGAAACCGGCAAACGGGTTCTCACGAGACAATATGAGCACGAACTCGCCGTGCGACAGAAGATCAAGCTTTCCCTTGTAGCCAGCCACCCATCCTCGCCACGAAAGCGTGATAATTCTGGGCCGGTCAGATTACCGAATTTCGCGTCTGTTGCAGGAGGCATGGCCCTCATGCGAGGATTAAAGTAATAGGCATATCGATCTTTCGGGTGCCTATCAGGTGTTGCGCTAGCAAATCAATGGCAGAGCTGAAGTTCACGCCCGGCAGAGGTGAGTTAAATTTGCAAGGAGTTGTACACTCTTTTACTCCTTGACACTGGACTCGCGTGAGAGTTCGAAACGTCGGACTGATCCCAGAGAACGTCTGCTCATCTTCTATAAATGGCCCTTCCAGTCTTCCTTGCCTTTGACGGTAATACTATTCAGCCTATATTACTAGCCGCTAAATTTGAGCGATATTTCTATCGAGGACGCGTGGACGCACGAACTGACTAATATATCCCACTGAAAGTGCACGGAAAGCCCTACTGTAAATTACTAAAATAGTCGGATTAGCATAACCAAATGCAAGAGGATTAAACACAGGCCTGTTTCATGGGTTAATATAAGGATTTTAGCAGCCTTGATGATGACTGGATGATCTATATGCTAAGATAATCCCATATTTTTATGGGGTTATCTACAAGCTTCTTTCATTTGACCATTTACTTGTACAACAAGCAGACCAAAGCAGGTTCCTCTCTCTCTCTGTGTCTGAGGACGTAGGCACGGGGTGAAAAAACACGTCCTTCTACCCAAATGCGGTATTGAGGACTACAGCCAAGTCAGGTGAGTCTCACACTATTCTCTGTCAAATTCAAACCTAGTTGCTTTTTACACCTTTATCCCCTCTGTCTCTGTTACACTCGATTAAGACATCTACGTGTTTTTCTGCAAGGGGACTCGCTTCGGGTGGACAACACGGAAGAAATAGTCAGGCAATTGAGCTGACTCGACCGTTTTTTTCGGAAAAAAAAGTTGACGGGGGCCAGCCAACGGCAGAGCCGATGGCTGGACATTCGATAGCTGGCCTCGTCCACCCTCGTTCCCCGAATGAAAAAAGTGAGGGACGATAGCTTACTCGCATGAGTGTCTGTTCGACGTGGGCCGCACGCAGAGCGTCCCCCTGCTAAATGTACTCTAAAAACTTTTAGTTTCGTTCATCGATTGTGCTTGGAAAAACGAGCCCATCACCATTTACTCCTTCCCTTAAGACGAGACCATTTGCTAGCAAGGGGGGGCAGGGAGTTACAGCCATTTTTAAAAGCTCACCGTAAACTATGCAAACAGGAATTTTGCCTGCATTGCTTCAACGAAATTGGTGAACAGTGTTGGCTGGATTCTTTGAATTCTTGTTTCAAAACGAAATGGCCTGAACCAGCATAAGTTTAGCAAACTCTCTTTCGGTAGGATGATTTACCATATCATTCTACTATAAAACTTCTATTAATGATGACTAATAAGCTCGATCTGCAGTGCCAATTCCAAATTTTCAGTCTAATACCTTCTCTGTGGGAGTTTTAAGTTTATGTTCCACATCACTTTCACTTGTATTTCGTAGGTTGACTCCTTCGCTGCGGCATTTGGTCGTTCTACTAAACTA